TCTATTAAATCTATTTCCAGGGGCCATTTATTTATTAGATAAACATTATCATTTATCTATTAAATCTATTTCCAGGGGCCATTTATTTATTTTTAAAAAATTATCCTTTATTTATTAAATCTTATTTCCACGGGCCATTTATTACAACTAAATTTTATTCTTTATCAATGAAATCTATTTCCAGGGGCCATTTATTACTTAAATAAATTTTATCCTTTATCAATGAAATCTATTTCCAGGGGCCATTTATTTATTAGATAAATTTTATCCTTTATGTACTAAATCTATTTTTAATAGATAAATTACTCCTATGCCCCATTTTGGCCATCAAAATGTTGCAGGAGGCATCCATCCCTAACCCTAACCCACCCCCAGCCACGCCCTAGCCTACCATGCTGATCCGTCCCTTGAAGGAATCCAGTTTGACACCCCTACTCTAGGGTTGCAGGTAGTCCTTGACTTACGACCGTTCGTTTAGCGACCAAAGTCACAACGTCACGGGAAAACGGGAGGTTTTCCGCGCTTCCGACCGTTTGTAGCATCCCGATGGTCATTTGATCAAAATTTGGAGCGACTGGCCTCTAGTTACGACGGTTTGCAGCAGCCCAGGACGGCTGTTTGTAGAACCCTGCCAGCCAATGGAGGAAGCCAGATTCGCTTAACGCCCCGTGGGCGCGATTCGCTTAAGAACGGCAGCGATGCGCAATGACGACGGTGCCAAAAACGGTCGCGTAAATGGGGGCGAAGCTCACTTAGCCACCTTTCGATTTTGGGATTTGGGGGCTCGCTTGTAAGTCGTGGATTAACCTCGGCTGGGGATGAGGGGAGTTGTAGTCCACCAAGCTTAGAAAGGGGCCAGATTCGTGGCCAAATGCTTTTGCGGTGTTTGATTAATGGAAGTTTTTTTCCCCCCTCCTTTTCGTTTTTGGCTCCCAATTATCTATTGTCTTTTTTCCCCTTTCTGGAAAAAAACAAAAACAAACCCTGATCCACAAATCAGACCGATATAGTTTAGCCAAGCCTGGCACACATTGTGTGCGACGGCATCCTTTGTGTCTGAGTATTTTGTAGCCCAGCCTGTTTCTGGCCACCTTTCCTGCCCATCCTTGCCGAGCAAAACGCTGTCAGATATTATTCCGGGGGAAAAATAATAATAATTGCCTTTTTTGGACCTCTCCCTGGCCTTTTCAGCTCGTGCAGATTTAAACCGAGCCAAAATCCATTCTTATTTTGCGAGGATGAGACGCCGGTTCGAAAGAGGGCACGATTTCAATTGGGGGGGGGGGAGTCCCAGGCAGCCTTGCCCAACGGTGCCAGCAGCCAGATGTGCTGGATGGAGAAATATTTATCCTGAAGGAGTCTGGCCCCTGCTGTCCCGTTATACAGGGAGCAAATTGAGGGGAAATTGTTTTTTTTGAGAAACCAGCAGATCCTAGAAAGTGGGTCTGGAGGATACACCAAGAGGTCATCTAGTCCAACCCCAGACCGATGTAGGAGCCCGGTTGCCTTGACCTGTGGCTTATGTCCTGGAACAGACAGAATAAGCCAGATGTTTTGTGAGAAGGACCCGTTTTTATGTCTGTTATGCCATTCTTCAGGTGGAGGGAGTCCTCGACTTACAACCTTCCCTTTAGTGACCGCGCGAAGTTACGACGGCGTCGGGGGGGGGGGAAAGTGACTTGCGGCCATTTCCCACCCTTGCAACCCCCTGCGGCATCCTCATGATCAAAATTCAGGCACTTGGCCATTGGCTCGTATTTATGACGGTCGCGGTATCTCGGGGTCACCCAGTCCCCTTTGCCGACCATGGGGGAGGGGGAGCGAGATTCACTTAACGACTGTGTTGCTAACAGCAGTACTGATTCACTGAACATCTGTGGCAAGAAAGGTCGTAAAGGGGGGGAAGGGGCAAAACTCACTTAACAACTGTCTCGTTTAGTGACAAAACTCCTAGGTTAGATTGTGATCGTAAATCGAGGACTGCTTGTGCTGTATTTTAATCCCCCCCCAGCACTCTCTGAAATATCTAGAATTAGTCTTTGCCACCTCCCAATAATTTGGTTTCTCCTTGCATTGAAATAATTGGTTAATTGATCTCACTGTCAGGAAATTTCTCCTCAGTTCTAAGTTGCTTCTCTCCTTGGTTAGTTTCCACCCATTGCTTCTTGTCCTACCCTCAGGTGCCTTGGAGCAGTGGTCCCCAACCTTTTTATCGCCGCGGACCAGTCAGCCTTTGATAATTTTACCGTGGCCCACTGAGCGCGTCGATGACCAGCACTAGTAGCGTAGCCTTGCGCAGGCGGAGTTCAGTATGGCTAGCGTAGATAGCGTAGCACAAACTGCGCCTACGCAAGGCTACGCTACTAGCGCTGTTCTACGCTAGCCCTACGTAGCTGCGCAGGCGCTCTTAGGTTTTTTTCAGGAATCGGCCAGCGCTGAAGCGCTGAAAAGGAATGAGAAGGGCGGCGCTGGACACAGGGGGGCGGTGGGCCGCTGGTGACGTCAGTGTGCCACCAGCGGTCCAGTAACACCCCTTGTGCCAGTTAGCCCTAATTTGCATACAGAAAGAAACTATGGCCCCCGGCCGCTGCAGCGATCATGGCCCCCGGCCGCTGCAGCGATCATGGCCCCCGGCCGCTGCGCGGCCCGGTGCCAGGTACTCCACGGCCCGGCACCGGTCCGCGGACCGGGGGTTGGGGATCACTGCCTTGGAGAATAGCTTGACTCCCTCTTCTTTGGGGCAGCCCCTGAGATACTGGAAGGCTGCTATCATGTCTCCCCTGGTCCTTCTTTTCATTAAACTAGACATTCCCAGTTCCTGCAACTGTTCTTCGTATGTTTTAGCCTCCAGTCCCCTAATCCTCTTTGCTGCTCTTCTCTGCACTCTTTCCAGAGTCTCCACATCTTTTCTACATCGTGGCGACCAAAACTGGATGCAAATATTCCAAGTGTGGCCTTCCCAAGTCCTTATAAAGTGGTATTAAAACTTCACATGATCTTGATTCTCTCCTTCTGTTGATGCAGCCTAGAACTGTGTTGGCTTTTTTGGCAGCTGCTGCACACGGCTGGCTCATTCCCATAATTTGCAATTGCCCCCCCTCCCAAACCCGCCCTAATCCGATGGCTTAATTCGCACTCCATGTTTATGGCGGTGTGTGTGTGTGTCATTTCTCACGACCGCAATTTTGCCTTTCAGAATTTTTAATTGGCCAAGTGTGATCGGACACAACAAGGACGTTGTCTTTGGTGCAGATGCTCTCAGTGTCCATCAAAAGACAAGATACATTTCCTCAAGAATCATTCCATCCTTTTCCTTCCCTCTTTCCCATCCCTTTCTTTTCATTCTTTCCCTCTTTTTCCTTCTGTTTTCCTTCCTTCCCTCTCCCTTTTGTTCCCTTCCTTCCCTTTCTCTGTCCAATCTTTCTCTCTTCCTTTTCTTTTCCTTTCCCTTCCTTCTCTTTCCCATCCCTTTCTTTTCATTCTTTCCTCTACTTAGAGTTAGGGTTGGGGGGGGGGGGTCTCACGTCTCGTTCAATCCATGACTTCACCAGTTTGACTTCCGGGGAGCTAGAACATGGTTTAAGGGATGTTTCTCGTTTTTTTAAAAAAAACAAAACACCAATGTTGGTTAAGAGGAGGACCCAGTTCAGCTGAGAAATCGTTGCAATGGGTTGATTTGGGAATGGGCACATTTCGATAAGGCTGTTGAGCCCCCCCAGTGGTGAATTTCACCCCCCCTACCCTTATTTCTGTGGGGAAGACACTTAAGTGTGTATTGCATGTGAGTATATGTTTGTGAACAGAGATCCTGGCCTTGTATTCGAAGAACGATGAATCTGCAAATGGCTCTTCTACTATTTATATATGTATATATATTTTTCCCCTCCTTCCCTTGTTCGTTCTTAGGTATTTGGATGTTCCTTTGTTCTGGGGAATTTAATATGGAGGAAGTGTTACGAAGGGGAGGGAGGGGAAGAACACAAGTTCTGTACATTTATTTGTATTAAAAGTCTTGCTCTTTACGTACAACCCGTTGTGTGTGTGTTTTTTTTCTTTCTGTTTCAACCCCATTGGGTGAATCGAACCCAGTGGGAACAGCAGAGGAACTGAAAATTGAAATGAGCGAATTGGGGAAGAAGTGGAGGGGGCTTCCTTATCCTTCCTCCTCTGATTGGGGAGGGGTTTGTAAAAAAAAAACCTTGCTTTGTTACTAGGGGACAGAAGGCTAATCTGTAACCTCCGAGCGAAGCCTTAAGAGTTGGATGGATCAATCCAGCAGGTTGTTGCTGAAGGGCAGGCTGGGAGGAGAAAGAAAGGGAGTGGGAGAGAAAGGGAGGGAGGGAGGTGGGGGAGGAGATGAGAAGAAAGAGGAAGGGGGGAAAGGAAGGAAGTGGGGAAGGAAGGAAAGTGGAAGGAAGGAAGGAAGGAAAGAGGGAAGAAAGAATGGTAGAAGGAAGGGAGGAAAGGGAGGGGAGAAAAAGAAAGTGAACGAAGGGAACAAAAGGGAGAAAAAAGGAAGGAGGGAAAGAATGAAAAGAAAGGGACAGGAAAAAAGGAAGGAAAGAAAGAGGGAAAGAATGAAAAGAAAGACAGGAAGGAAGGAAGGAAAGAATGAAAAGAAAGGGACAGGAAAGAGAAGGAAGGAAGGAAAGAGAAAGAATGAAAAGAAAGGGACAGGAAAGGAAGGAAGGAAAGGGAAAGAATGAGAAGAAAGGGACAGGAAAAAGAAGGAAGGAAAGAAAGGGAAAGAATGAAAAGAAAGGGACAGGAAAGAAGGAAGGAAAGAATGAAAAGAAAGGGACAGGAAAGAGAAGGAAGGAAGGAAAGAGAAAGAATGAAAAGAAAGGGACAGGAAAGGAAGGAAGGAAAGGGAAAGAATGAGAAGAAAGGGACAGGAAAAAGAAGGAAGGAAAGAAAGGGAAAGAATGAAAAGAAAGGGACAGGAAAGAAGGAAGGAAAGAATGAAAAGAAAGGGACAGGAAAGAGAAGAGAGGAAAGAAAGAGGGAAAGAATGAAAAGAAAGGGACAGGAAAGAAGGAAGGAAAGAATGAAAAGAAAGNAGCGATCATGGCCCCCGGCCACTGCAGCGATCATGGCCCCCGGCTGCTGCGCGGCCCGGTGCCAGGTACTCCACAGCCCGGCACCGGTCCACGGACCGGGGGTTGGGGATCACTGCTCTAATCCAACCCCCTGCCCAAAGCAGGAGTCTTTATATCAACTTGGACAAATGGTTACTCACAGGGGTGAAATCAACTTACCTTTGCCACCAGTTCACAAATGTGAGCGCACACGCCACCTGTGAACATGCACAGGACCTTCCACACATGCGCAGAGCTGGGCAGGTGGGCGGAGCCTCCCACCTCCACCGCTACTGGTTCACCCGAACTGGATAGAACTGGCTGAATTACACCACTAGTTACCCAATCTTTTTGTCAGGGTTCCAAGTAACACCCCTAACAAAAGAAGAATCCGAGGCATGAGTTTTTTCAAAGTTTCATTTTATTAGAGATAACATATTGGCACATCTGGGAAAACCCTAATATCAAAGCTTCTAGGTTTTCCCCACCCAAACCAAAATTCAAGTCCCTGCCCACATGTCCGTCACATGGTCCAATCAGGCACCGTCCCAACTGGAGATGCTTCCCAGTCACACCACTCTATGTGCAGGGCAAGATGTCCTTGACTCTCTGAGAAAGGAATGTTATTTTGACTACCCCTCCAAAACTCCACACCATCCCCTCTCCCAGTTTCCAACAGCATTAAATGTGGCAGACCCGACATTTTTCTTCAAAACTTCCAGCGATGGAGCACCCACAAGTCCTTCTTCCCTCTGACAGCCCTTCAAATATTAGAACCCCTAATTCTTCTAATTGTTAAGCTAAACATACTTCTGTTGATGCAGCCTAGGACTGTGTTGGCTTTTTTTGGTAGCTGCAACACACTGCTGGCTTGTACTTAAGTGTTGGTCCATTAGGATACCAAGATCCCTGTCACAAGCACTACTGTTGCATCTGGAATTGCCTATTGTATAGCTGTGCATTTGGTTTTTCTCACCTACAGTATGTGCAAGACATTATTTTCCTCACCACTAAACTGCATCTTGTTGGATAGGGCCCTTGCTTAAATCTGATTCACAGGTTATGGAGTACTCTCCCTAGGAAGTCTTTATTTTGCGACTATTGTTCCAATATTTAGCAAAATGACAGATCTGCATCTTTTCACCAAACTTTAGTTGTTAAACTGGTTTTAATTGCCTTGATGTTATAGCTGTGTGTATTGATCATGTTACCTATTCATGTGGCAAAATGAATGCAAGCTCAGAGAGCATCAAGGACTTTATAGTTCAAGCCTGATCTATACAATTCTCTTCTATTTATAGTTATAGATTATATTGATGCTTATTGAGCAGAAAGATTGGCTATAAATTAGATGTTTATCATGACAATGATGATGACGATGACAGTCATGAATTATACTCTAACTATAGAATTTTACATGAATAAATAAACGTTTCTATAGATAGAAACATACAATGCAATAAAAGGGGTTGGAGAGGAAGTAACTCTATGTAAAAAATGCACCCACTTATTTTCATGTCACATATTCAGACCACGTCTCTTTAGTTCCTTTAATTGCAGTTCCTTTTCTTTTAAAGGAAAATGTTGTTAAAAAGCAGATCAGCACCAAGAATAATTCAGCAAAGATATTTGATGTTCAAAATTAGCACAAATACATGAATCCCATAGAAAGTTATCTAAGGATTCAACATATAATGATAAAGAATTGTTTTTGTACCATATCTTCTTTTCCTTTTTTACAACTATTCATATTTTATATGGGTAAAGCCAGCTGCAATTTTGAATTTTGGCTTAATTTTTTTTTAATTGCTCTAAATCGACTGATGTACTTTTTCTGATAATTTTCTAGTTCATGACATAGAAAATGTTTTATTTTATCTGAAATGAAATAAGTAATATAAGGGGGAGAGCTGATGAATATTCTTTGATAACACATTTCAAGAATTTAAAGGTATAACATTTTTTAAATGTTACCAGGCACATTTGCTGTCTTATTCCCAGCCACATCACATCTACTTTTAAGAGCCTCCTCCAGGGATGGCATTCATTTACAGTACTTTCCCTACCAGTTCACAAATGTGAGCGCACATGGCTTGAAAATGTGACTAAATAGGACAGCATAGAGCCAGGGCAGGTGGGCGCCAGGCCCACCCGCAATTTCCACTACCAGTTCAGGCGAATACCACTTCTGCCCCCCCTCCATCCATGGCTTTCTATATGATTTTAAAAAT